TATATTATAGAGAACTGTCCTTTTGAGGATCATAGTTATTCACTGTTCCATTTTTCTAGTCGGACTTTTTGCTTGGGTTGATACGACTGTTGCGAACTATAATAGTACTAATTCTTGGTGGTGTAAAGCGTCTTATCAAAATAATCCATTTTCATGGAATGAACCAAGTTATGATTCTTATAGTAATTCCAGCTCCTCGTATTATGGTCAAAATCAAAGTGTCTTAACTTTAGTCATTTTTATTCCTTCCAATCAATCTTGTTTTGATGATGAATTCTTCTTTAAACCAACGCCGTTTGTATGCGAATTCTGTAAGTAACACGAAAGTCACGTAGTAAAACTTAATAGCCACTTTAATCTTCGCTTTGTTCCTTCTCTTAGTATCGTCTCCAGCTGTTCTATCTGATGAGGACACAGAAGCATCCTCCATAATGCCACTGCCCACAACTGCTTCAACAACAACGAGTGGTAAAGTCTTTCTCTAAGATGTACTAGGAAAATGAACAATAAGATCATCGTGCCTTTTTGTTTTAGCCAACACATCACAAGCTTCAACATCGGAGGAAATAGTCTTGCCTAAAACGTCCACTATCACACCGACAACAGCAAGTGCTGGTCAGGAGCTACAACAGAAATCGTAGCTGTATTAATCTGATTTCTCGTTCTCTTCAACACTCTATTTTAGTCCTCGTTCCACAACCAACAAACTTTATTTCAACCTGCCCTTCAAACACCATTGGGCCTCACTGCAACGAAACGTTCAACAAATGTTCACCAGCCAATCCTTGCCTACAAAATGGTAACTGCTCTGTGAATTCTAGTCTCGAACTCGGCTACCAATGTCAGTGTAAACCGTTCTTTGATGGAATTGATTGTGAGCTCGACAACAGACCATGCAAAGAATTAAGTTGTATTAATGACGGTAAGTAAGTTAATACAATCTTCTTAAAGACCTTAGCTTTTTACCCTGTCTCGCATCTATAACTTTAGTTATAGGAGTACTTCACTATCACAGACGTGTCTGACAGAGTTGGTCCTTAAGGATTTTTTGTTCGTTATGTTTCGAAGACGTGCCCTAACTGCAGACAAATTTTTAGACATTTCGTCGCTGGCGAGATATTTTTGGCAGAATGTATTTCTCGCATTTTATTCAAAGAATGACTAAAACGATCACATGACCATAATTAGTGTCACAGCTTTCTCTGCGCCAATGAGTCATCATTTTAAGAGGAACGATTTTGTGTCGAACTCGTACAGTAGGAATCTCATGAATGAAATGAAAGACACAGTTGTGGTGTGGAATGTAGGTTTCGTCGTACGCATCAGCAACTATCATTCTCCACAGTGGATGATATTTCTGGAATTAAGCAGTACTTCTGCAGTACTGAGAAACTACAACGAACAGTTCGTAAAAATCGAAACAGGCTGGCCAGTAGAAAAAATGCTGGGGAAATTAGTCGAAATGTAGCATTAAACAGTAAGCATTCCCTTTCATTTCACTTCATCTCTATGTCCTCATGTCAAAGAATGCTAAAATAGGATTATATGGGATCTTGTAAGGTCCTATCAGATTCTAAAATAAGATCCTGTCTGATCTTATATGATCCTATGAAATCATATAGGACCTTGCAGGAAACACGTCTGCCATCTTAAAGCAAGAAATGACGTAGGATTTCTATTATAGGATCCTATGAGATCCTACAGTAGGAACTTATAAGATCATATAAGATCCTACACAATATTATTATAGGGTTTGATAGGATTTTACATGATCAGCTAGGATATGATATAGTTTATCCTACTAAGTTTATTATTTTTATTTGTTTAATTATTCTCTGATCCAAGCTAGTCAGGCGATTCTGAACTGTGATAAGCCCAGGACTTGTGAGTACTTGCTCACATGCCGTCCAACAGTATAGCGAATTTCAATGGCTCACAGATTTTTGAAAATTTGAGCCTAAAAGAATTTTTCATTTTCTACAATAGAGTTGTATTTATATTATAGTTACTACAAAACACGTTGGTGATTGTGTTTCGTATAGAAAAAGAAAAGAAAATATATTATAGAACGCAAGAATAGGAACCCGACAAAATCTTATCGTAGGATTCTGTAAGAAATGCAAAAGATTCCTATTTATAGGAATCCTACTATCAGTAGGATCCTATAGGATCTCGTAGGAAGCTAGTAGGAGTATTTGACCTGGGTCGCTCTGTTCTCAACAAAAAGGTTCCAGAGGCGAGACAGGNTAGGATCTCGTAGGAAGCTAGTAGGAGTATTTGACCTGGGTCGCTCTGTTCTCAACAAAAAGGTTCCAGAGGCGAGACAGGTGCGGAACTACTCAGTTCCTATTTCACTCGTTTTTTTCCTGCCTTTATTTAGGTATTTGTAATGAAACTTCCAAATCAACGTACGAGTGTTTTTGTGGAGAAGGATGGTAAGTGTGTTTTTCTCTCTCTCTCGGTGTGACTACAAAACTTCACTCTGTCCTTCTTACTTTTAAGGTCCAGCGTGCACTGTGAAAAAAAGATCGACTACTGTACAGAACTGAACGTTAGCTGTCAAAACAAAGGTATCTGTGCTCCACTCTTCAAAGATTTTGAATGCTGTTGTCTTACAGCTGACACATGGGGACGGTACTGTGAAGAACAGAGTACCAGCAGTTTGATGATGAAAGATGTACGACGAGGATTGGGTTGCATTGCATGGGCAGCATTGGGAATTGTTGTTGGATTCTTCGTTGTAATGGATATCTTGAAGTATGGGTTTGGTACCGACCCCGTCGAGCAAGAACGTCGTCGAAAGCACTGGGAAAAAGCGATGCGAGAACAGGTCAAGCGTCGACAGGTTCAAATGGCTCGAGATAGGAATGGCAGAGGACGGCAGCAACGACGACCACAAATTGCATTACGACTGCGTTATGTCGGTGGTGACACCAAACTCGAACCACCAATGCCGGATACAGCTACTTTGGAATAATTGCAAGAGGACGTTCAGCTGTGAAGAGTCGTGTATGGACAGCTGAGACACGACTGCAATTACGGAACTGAGATACTATGGTTTATTTGCGATGTAGTTTTCTTTTCATTTTTTTGTTGGTGAATTATATAAGTTACGCTTATGAGATTAAAACCATTTTATGACTATTCTTAATAGTGTTCTGAAGTGCCATTAAAGCTGCATGTCTCCAGAGGAAAAAGATCACGTCTGAAAAGTCTTAGTTGGCCATACTCTCAAAAAAGATAATTTCTAATGCTGCCATCGCACTACTTTAAAAGAGGGCCTTTGTCATGAACAAGTGGTTGTACATAACTTCAAACAAGAAAAAGGAAGAAAGTCTCGAAACACACAAATTCTATTTTGTGTTTTCACTCTGGTCTACACTTCAGAGTAACTGCAACTCGGTCCATATTCCGCATCTACAGCAGAACAAAAGAGAGAACATAATAAAAGATGAATAAGTGTAGAATTATTAGACAAATTAAATCAGCGTCCCTTTTACACAAGCGCTCCGATTCCTTCC